CTATATTTTTATTAAATAATATATATTTATAAAATTCATCAACTCTCTGGCCTAAGAAATTAGTTGTAGTGAATATTTAATAGCTTCAACATAATTTGAATTTAAATTATACCACACAGATAATTTTATCTCTTAATGTAATTTTTCCATTAATACTCTAAATTATTTCGTCAAGTAAATATACGCTCAGTCTCAGTATATCTATATTATATATATTTAATAAATTCAGCTCAATTGAGTTTAGTTTTTCAAGTTTTCCTATTAGCTAATCAAGTCAAGCTATTTAAGCCATTTCGTTGCGTATCAAGGTCCAGCTCAATAGCATCATAACAAACAAGATAACGCCAACTTTTATCATAATGCTAATAAAAATCGACCACAAACGATGAAGAAGAGGAGCTGAAGAAAAACTAAATGTACATACATATATATATCTATGTATATAAACACAGGCAACAGAAGATGAGGAAAAGTTTTCAAGATTATTATGATGATTGCGCCGCAATGGCGCCTGCAGGCAGCCCCAACAGCCCCAACTCGGTCGAGCTGCCAACTTGTTTACATAAATTTTAATTGCTGTAATTATGATTTTTACACGAAATTAATTATGCATGCGCGGTAGCTGCATGCAGCAGCAGCAGCAGCAGCAGCAGCAGCTCGCATATATCTTAGATATATGGCAATGGATAAACAGATTGAGAGACGAGGCAAACGTTTCAATAAAAACTAATCTCCGGCCTGGCTAAACTCTTAGATCTGAGCAACTTTAATTGCTGATGAAAATTATGCAATTTCAATGGGAAAATTCATAGCTGGTGTATGAGTATCTTATGGATGCGCAGCATTTGCCAGATGCCAGATAAGAAAGTCGTGTAAACCGAAAAGATCTCGCGCTGGCTGATAAAGCAAGGGAAAAAGAAAAGAAAATTCACATCTAGCTTGTTATACTCATTCACGTAAGTGAAATGAGTATATTAGGCCTATGCAATGTCCGTCTTGCTGGCTATATGAATTCCAGCAAGAGACTTGAAATTTGGTGCATAAACTCCCGGAATTTCGATGCGCCCAACTGAAAAGATAAATCTGTCCGTTTTTGGGGTATTCTTCAGTCGGTGACGCCCGACTGCAACGTTCTTAGTCGCCTTCTTCAGTTGGGTTGACCTGCTTAGCTGCTGCTCGGCTGCTGTTTAGTATCCATAAGATACAACAGCTTATTTTGATTGGCCCGGCCCGCTGACAGTTTGACTTTTGTTAATTTGTGTTTAATTAATGTTCAGTGTGGCACACTAAATTCCACAAATGCCACACGCCACAGCCGAAAGAGTTGTTGCCGCTTGGCGAAACTTTTACGAAATCGGTGTTTCAAAACTATTCTCAATTGAAGACAATTTGCTGACAGCTTGATCAAAATTGCACCGTAAAACAGTTTTATTTATTTGTTTTATTAGCTTCATCAATCGAAACAGGTTTTGATCAAATATCAAGAGCTCGGCTTGTGTTTACGCATTTGTTTTTTAGTTTTTTATTTTTTTTCTTTTTTTTTTAGTCACTCTTTTATTCACTGCTTAATTAAACAATGATTTGTTTATTTATTCATTCATTCGATTCACTTTGTGTCACAAAACTTTGTCATAAATATTCAAAATGAGTCTTTAAGTGCTTCGTTCTTTCATCGAACTTGATTTACGGCAGACCTTGGAGTCAAAGATGCGACATAAATTATATTTATTTTATTCAAGTAATCTATAATAAACTATAAAAGTTTCTAAAGTACCACATGTGTTGACAAATTTAAATTTGGTATACAATTTTTAAAAACTTCATTTCCTTTTTAATGCTTCAATATAAAAATTAAACTTTAATTATTTCAAATAAATTTTGAAAATTTCCTTTTTCATTTTAATGTAAATCAGTCGAAATTTTCAAATTATTAAATTTCGTTTTAATGAATGGCATATATATTTTATATATTTTAAACAAACTTGAAAGATTTCATAATTATAAAACTTTATATCTGATCTTATATAAATTTAATAAAAAGCGTTTTGTTTATGTATAGGTAAAACAAACGTTGAATTATTCAAAATAAACTACGAATATATTAAGTAAAAATTATATTTGTTAGCTTACTATAATTGTATTTTGTTTTGCCATTTTAAGTTAAAAACCCTCAAAGAAACTTATTTTCTAAATTAAAGGCAACTACTGATAGTTTTTTTTTTTTTTTTTTTTTTTTTTTTTCTTTTTTCATTATTAAAATAGACTCCAATTTCAATTTCCTTAAGTAAAGCATTTGATTAAAATTAAGAAAAAAAAACTATTTTTAGTAGATTTTTTTAATATTATTTATTTATCCATTTCAGGATTTTTTTATTTAACTATAATTCAATATTAACCATTATATTTAGTTTTCGTATTATAGGAATGTTCTCTTACTATAAATCAATAAAATTTTTGATAACTGAGAAAAAAAAACATTTATTTAATTGAATATTTCATATTATAGTAATTTATTGTCTATTATTAATTAAAATAGTAAATTGTTTTCA